GAATACGGTGTGTAAAGGCATGGGCAAGAGAGAACGATGTAGCCCCAGAGAGAGACGTGGGACTCCTTGTCAGAGGAGTGACAGAGGACAGGGGCTGGCGCTGAGGCTATGGCCAGGCTGGGAATGGTTTTGTAGATCCTGTGCAGAAGTTTGGGCTTCACAGTCTCAGCCAGGGGCAAAGGTTGGGGGTGTTAGGCAGAAGCAAAATATCTAAGATGTAACTGTGGGGGGCACATGGGGTCTGAGTTATGAAATGGTGGTGGGTAGAGAAATGAGGAGACTTGTAATATTCCGAGGAAGAGATGATGAGCTTCTCTACTAAGCCAGTGGCAGTGAGATTGGAGAGGAAGGGCCATGGGTAAGACACGTTCGGTATGTTTAAGAGCCCTCGGCCATGCTGAGGGTAAAGAGAACGTGTAAATACCTCATGGCAACCCCGAGCCCAAAGATTCCTTCCTTCCTCAAGACACTGATTGCAATCTGATAAAATTGTGTTTGTCTGTCTCTCTGTATGTGTATGGAGAGACAATATTTTATCTATGTCTATATCTGTATCTGTATAGGTATAGATGTGTATCTGTATGTCTATATCTATCTATCTGTCTACCTGTCTATCTGTCGATCGATCAATCTACCTATCCATCTATCCATCTAAAATGACCACACTCTGGGACTTCCCTGGTAGTCCAGTGGTAAAGAATCCGCTTTCCAATGCAGGGGATGTGGTTTTGATCCCTGGTCAGGGAACTAAGATCCCACATGCCATGGGACAACTAAGCCCGTGTGCCACAACTACTGAGCCCACACTCTGGAGCCAGCGCACCACAACTAGAAAGAAGCCCACACACCACAACTAGAAAGAAGCCTGTGTGCCACAACAAAGAGCCTGTGTGCCACAACGAAGATCCCACGTGTCACAACTAAGACCCGACACAGCCAAAAATAAAATAAATAAATAAATAAAATAAAATATACTTAAAAAAAAATAAAATGACCACAATCTGAAGTCCTTGTAGTTGTGCAGTGATCAATCTGCCCAGCCATGTTAGGACACATTATAGCCCACCACTGTCAATGAGAAGATAACCAGATGCATGCATGACCTGCAGGGGAGGGTCCCCAGTGTCTGTAGATGTGACTGGGAACACACTGTGCTATTTGTAATCCTTTAATTAGACTCTTGTGAGTCCTGCCATTTTCTTTGAGTAATTTCAGCATTTCTGGTAAGATTGTTATACACGTTTCACGTTTATCTGTATATTCATAAACACTAGCGATAGATAGATAGATGATAGATAGGTAGATAGATAATAGATATATAGGTACATAGATGATAGATAGATAGACTCATTTGCCACAGATATGTGTCTGAAAATTGAACAAAGCTCTCTTGTCAAAATACGTGGAAGCATTTAAATTTATTTCCAAGTGCTCCTTTGTTCAAAGGTTATCACAGAAACAAGGGGAGGATCATGATGCTATTGCCAAATTCAAATCAGATTTAAATGAATTAGAAGTATTGAGTACCTCCCTTGGCAAGCTCAGCGCGGGAGAAACCAGGATGACTGCGGCACCCCACACTCAGCGGCAGGCGCTGCGCTGGGGAAGCCGGCTGACTAGTGGCACCACCGTGAGGGAAGATGCCGTGGCAGGACCTCCGAAGCAGAGGAGACAGAAAATGCAAATACAAATATCGTGTTTAGGGCATTGATGGGAGGTTAAACAAAGAGGCAATATAATATAATGGAAAGAATTCTGCCCTTTACTGACCCTGTGACTTTCGGCAGTTTACTTAACCCTCCCCATGCCTCAGTTTCTTCATTTTTAATAGTGAGAATATTTGTTCTATTTATCTCATAATTTGTGAAGAATCCATGAGATAATGCATGTGTAAGCAAGTTGAAAGTCATCAAGTCATATGTTAATAAGTAATACATATTATTACGTATTACATACTAATAATGATGTCATAATTGAGAACAGAAAGAACTTTCCTTTCTCCCACATCACTCTCTGTGTTTCCTGTCTTACTGGCGATCCTCACCTTTGACACTGTCCTTACCTTTCCTCCTTTGGGACAGTGACAGAGGACAGTGTGGGCCTGCAGAAGATGGAGGGGTTCACTGCCTGAGGCTTTGGTGAAACGTTTGCATCAACCTTCACCATCCCCCTCCAGGAAACTCCCTGCTAATGGGGGATAATCACCTGGGGAATGAGGATGTCCCTCAAATATCCATAGAATTTTACAAATATCTCCTAATCCAGGACCTTTTAAACTATCCGATGAAACATAACATACATGGAACTGATAGCCCTGAATCGGGAGCCATATCGAGCAATCTGTCCCTGGGCATCAAAGCTGCAATGTCCTAAATTATCCTCCACTGACCAGCTACGCCCCCACCCTCCCACCGCAGCTGTGTCCGCCTTACAAACAGAGAGACTCTTGGGTCTAGAGAAAGAGAGCTTCAGATGGCCTAACACATCTGGCTAAAGCAGACATTATTCTGAGAATATTCTGGGAGGTTCACCGAAGTTGTTGCTTTATAAAAGAGTGAGAAAAAGTATTGACATTTCTAAGTCCAGAACAATTTTTTAACAAGCTGGAAAATACTGAAAAACGAGTAGTACAGTTTTCTCAAGAGAATGCGGTGTAGTTAGAAAGTACACTATTTTTTCCCACTGTGTATTTTGGTAAAATATGTGCAAAGAAATTTCAGGCCAACTCCTAATGCAGAAATAATCCAAAATGTGGCAGATTTATAAGCCAGGTAATTTTTATTTATTTGCTAATGTGGATTCCCTTAAGATCGCAAATGTTCTCCATGTTACTTATGGCTTCTCCTTGAAAAGACTTACCGCTAAGATCTCAGCAGCATAAAACTCCAGGCTGCAGAGTTGTCTGGATCAAGCATCAGTCATAATTCTCCTCTGCCACTGACTCAGGGTAGTTTGGAATCCACTAGCACTCTACGCGTTTGGTAATTAACAATTCATAATTAAACTGGCAGTTGGAATAAATCAGCATAACTATGAGCTTGGAGCCTCCTCTCTCTGTTGTCCATCGTTCCTTTTATTTTGAGAATCTGAAAGAAAGTTGAGAAGAAAGCTTTAGGTATCAGAAATCCTCCATTAAAAGCTTTGCCCTCCTTAGTTTTGGGATGTGTTCAATCTGTTCTTTGGATCTTCCTTTCAGAGGAATTAAGCAGGTACCCTTGTCAGCCTTGTGCCAGACACTGAGGAAAGAGAGGTGGGTGTCATTCCGTCCTTTTCCTCCAGCACCTCACTCTCTAGGTAAAGAGACAGGCATAAAATCAGCTGTAAGTACAACACGTTCGGACCCCTTCCCAGGTAGGGAGGTGGGAGATTCTCTTTACAGGATTTGGGGAGAGGTTAGGGAAAACTGCAAAGGGGAGGTGGCCTTTGATGTCCCTTGAAAGATGAGCCACATGTCTTTTCAGGTAGGAAAGGAAGAGAAGAAGCAAAGCAGAGTTTCGGAAGGGCCTGTGCCTCTGCCGTGTTCCCCGGCAAGCCGGGTCCAGAGTGTTCAGTGAGCCGCCTTAGTGAGGACACTGCCAGGAAGAGGCTTGTCGCCGGGTTGGGGTTAGACTGCAGAGGGCTCAGGTCAGGGAAAATAGGCTTGTGCTAAGCCTGGGGGGCACGGTGAGCTAAGGGAGTGAGCAGCGGGGCTTATTGCCTGAAAAGATCACTGTGGTCACATGGAGGGGGCAGGTTGGAGGATTCCCAAATTGGAGAGAGACCAGGTGGGATGGCCCGGGTGGGAGGTTGTTGCAGTTGACCATGTGGAAATTGGTGAGAAACCCAACTAGGTTGAGGGCGATGAGAAGTAAGATCAGAGAAGGAATCTAGGTATTTTCCGATGCCCAGCTTCAAATTGAATTAAAAATCAGGCCTGGAGGGAGGACAAGGTAGACAGCAAGACCAGGGGTCATGTCAGCCTTTGTGATGCTGACAGGTAAATGGATGTGGACCTGGCCCATGAGAGGACAACAGTCTGCTGTGAAAGATGGCATCATTGCAGTTGTCATCCTTATCACCACTGTCATCTTAGCAGCTACCAGTGATTGCTTCCTTTGTACCAGGTGCCCTGGTCAGCCATTGTTTAATTGAAACCTCATAACGTGAGTTTAGCTGCTGCTATCATCGGTTTCACAGGTGAGGAAACCAAAGCCTGAAGAAATGAAGACAATTCACCTTTGCCCAGATCACTCAGCAGGTGAGGAGCTGGGCTCCAGAGCTCTGCTCCTAACTACTCGGACATGATACCATTACAAATAAATTGTATAATGTGATCTTAGCATAACAGTAGTAGCTGGGGCTACTGTTGCTGGTGGGGTCTAGGGGAGAAAGCAATTAATGCTGAGTCAGTGAAAATTTAACCGAGTTTTAAAGGATACATTTTAAGGAAGGAGCAAGAATTTCCAGGAAAAGAACTGTGAAAGAAAATAATTCCCGGACTGCACAACCTGTGTGAGGTCAAAGAATTCAATAGCCTGGAGTGCTCAGGAAATGGTAACTAATCCAGTGCGGTTGGGGCTTTGTGAATGAGTCACTGGAAACAAAGGCTGAGCTGGGGATTACATGTGTGGTTCCTGCATAAGCCAGGGGTTCCACTAAAAGGAATGAACACACGGGTCCGATAGGAACTCTTAGAAAACTTTGTATTTTCCCTTTGGTTCTGCTTTTCCATCAACCATCAGTAATGCCTGTCTCTTCAGTTACTGTTTCCCCAGAACCGCCCCCCACCACACCTGCATCCTGGTACATCCAGACATTATGTAGAGCTGCTTTCACGAGTGCCCTGTACGTGTTGTGTTAATGGTCACATCCTTGGCGAATCAAGCATAAAAATCTAAAATTTATTATTGAGAATAATATTTATTTTATAAAACATGCTGTATGAATATTTATAGGCTAACACCTCCTTTTGTACCAAGAATCGTTCTCATGTATTTCTTTTCCCCTCTGTCTCCTTACAGTTCCTCCCCAGATCATGAATATCTCCTCAGACGTCACCGTGAATGAGGGGAGTAGTGTGACCCTGCTGTGTCTTGCTATCGGCAGACCTGAGCCAACAGTGACATGGAGACACCTGTCAGTCAAGGGTAAGTCATTTACTTGGAGGAAGTTTTCAGAGTTGGTATATTGAAGACTTGCTTCTAATGCACAACAGAAGTTTAAGACTAAGAAAGTAATGCTGTATTTGTAACATAGTGATGGAAGAACAAATAGATTACATGCATCAGTCACCGGGTATTCCATTCTAAAGAAGTGTTTGTAGAGAACATTTACTGAATTATTTTCTCTGTCCTTTTTATGACCTTAGAAGACTTGTGTTTTCTCAGCTATGAAGGACAGAGATGCCCTAAGAATAACTTCCAACAAAGATACTAATGTCTCAAGGTGGGGATGTGTGGGTCAGTGGGTTGTCTGTCCTTTCTTGAAGTAGAGGGCTAGAAAGCTAGACTGTGCACTGAAAATGTTGGTGTTATTTTGTGCATCCAGGAGAAAAAGGATCTCCTTCTCAGTGCTTTCAGGACACTTACCCAGAGTGGAAGAATTGATGCTGGAAATGGTCAAGTGCTCCTGGGCGTGCCTGTGCTGGGCGCTCAGTGATTGGTATTAAAACATTAGTTATTGATCGTCTCCAACTTAATAGAAGGGAACCAAAAGGACAGTGGACCTTATCCCTTTGGAAATAAAACTTACTCTAAGTTGAACTTGAGAGATGGGCAAAGAGCCATTGATGTATTTACCCTGTTAACAGAAGCTGATTAATCCTGTAAATTATACAAGAAACAAGTGCTTTCTCAGGCATTAGAAAATATAAACATTGGAGCCAGTGAAAAGGAAAATGTGTGGAGTATGCCTGTGTGTGATATATAAAATAATATAAATCTAGAGGAAAACTGGGAATAAATCTTAGTAATGTTGAGCTAGACAAGGACTTGCTAGTTCACTAAAAGCTCTAAGCATAAGAGAAAAATGATAAATTTGCTTTTGTATTATTTTCCTGTGGTTGCCATAACAAAGTACTGCAAACTTCATGGCTTAAACAACAGAAATGTATTTTCTTATTGCTCTGGTTGCTAGGTGCCCATGATCAAGGTGTAGGAAGGATTGGTTCCTTTTGAGACCAGTGAGGGAAACTCTGTTCCAGGCCTCTCCCCTAGCTTCTGGTGTTTCCTGGCTTATAGGTGCATCACCCCAATCCCTGCCTTCATTGTCACGTGGCCTTCTTCCTGTGTGCATCTCTCTGTGTCAAATTTTCCCTTGTTATAAGGGTAGCAAACACATTGGATTGGAGCCCACATTTATGACCTGATATTACCTTAATTACCTCTATAAAGACCCTATGTCCAAATAAGGTCACATTCTGAAGCACTGGGGTTAGAACTTCAAGGTATCTTTAGGGGGTGTGGGGGTGGAGGATGAAATTCGACTCATAACTGGCTTCATCAATATTGAAAATACCATTAATAGTAAATGAAAAGACAAGCCACAGATTGGGAGCAAACATTTGCCATCCATATATCTGACAAAGAATTTACGTCTGTGCTATATGAAGAATTCTTACAACATAATTCTAACCACCTACCTTGAAATGAACAAAACACCGAAAAAGACAATTCACAAAATATATATATATATGAATGGAATAAGAACATGAAAATATGCTCAACGTATCTATCATAGAAATGAAAATTAAACTGTAATCAAATTCCAATACACAACTACTAGAATGACAAAAATTTAAAAGACTGACAATATCAGGTGTTGATAGGATGTGAAGCAACTGAATCTCTTTACATTAACTGTGGGACCATAAAATGGTATTGTTACTGAACTTAGTTTCAGTAGCTTGCCACTCAAAAGCTAATAATTTGAGAGGCAAGTGTCAGTAGAAAGGAAAGGTGCTTTAATCATGAAAGCCAGCAATCTAGGGAGATGGTGGACTCATGTCCAAAAACCACCTCTGAAGATTCTGCTCAGCCAGGACAGTTTTTAAAGGGAAAAAGCGGGGAAGAATCTCAGTGAATCATTTAGGCAGGAGGTTGGGTTCTGCATCATTCTCCGTTGCATACAGACTGGCTGACTCTCTCTTCAGAGGTCATCTGCCTTCAGGGTTGCTTGGGGGGGGCGGGGTTATTGGGGTAAAGAGCTAGTCTTACTTCTTTTTATCTAGGAAAAGAACCAACAGGTTAGACTAGGCATGGTGTGCATTCAGGAGAGCATAGGTCAGGAGTTAGTTTAAATTGCCTAGTGATCTCATTCCTAAAGTTAGGGTCTTTTAGGGTTAGAGGGGAACAGAAATGGACAAACAGGAAAGGGGCAAAAGTGTTGCTTTCAGTAAGTACTATGGAAAACAGTTTAACACTTTGTTAATGAAGTTAAACATACACTTAGCATATGACCCAGCAATTCTACTTCTAAGAATTTACCGAAGATAAATGAAAACATATGTCCACAGATATACATTGTACACAAATGTTCATAGCAGCTTCATTTATGATAGCCTCAAACTATAAATAAACCAAAACCCTCAACAGGTAAATAGTTAACTTGTGGTAAATTTAAGCAACAGATGATTTCTCAGAAATTAAAAAGAACAAACCATTGATACATGTAACAAAATCGATGAATCTCAAAAGCACTCTGCTAAATAAGAGAAGCGGAAAAAAAAAAACAGGTACTTTATGATTTCATTTATATGAAATTCTACAACAGGCAAAAACTAATCTAGAGTGACTAAAATCAAGTCAGTAGTTACGTAGGGTTGGGGTTTTTGGATAATTGACTACAAAGGGTACAAGGGACTTTTTGGGGTGATGGATATCTTGAGCACCGTGGTCGTTATATTGGTGCTTAAATCAGTGAAAACTAATCAGTGCTACACTAAAAATGGGTGCATTTTGCTGTCTTTGAATTAAGTCTCAATAAAATTTGAAAACTATACCTACAGAGATATAGGAAATAATGACCTGAAAATGTGCCCCTAATTTGGAACGTTAATTATGTGAGAAGCATTCACCAAATGAAAAGACTGGATTTGCTACTAGGAGCATTATTCAAACTTTCACTATCTCATGTTCCCTGTGTACATTGAGAATACATATTTCAGCCCCTGCCTTGTTACAGGGAAAGATAATGATAATAAATCCACCAGACATCCTTTGTGTAAAGACCTCAGGTATTGAAATCCAAAATGTCAATATTATAAAGTAATATTAACAAGAATATTAAAAGAGGCATAAGAGATATCACAAAGCTCAACTTTAACATAAACACAGCAGTAGCTTGTGTTCCCAAAGATACAAGCTCCATCCATGGAAATTTTGCTTAAAGTCAGGGGGAATTTTGGTTTACATTATACACAAAAATATGTCTAACCATCAGACTAATTTCAGTGCATTTATTTGATCCTAAACACATAGTTTTCTCAGCCTAGGAATCTTTTGGAAGGTGCTTTGACTTTGTGGAACTGTTTTAAAGCAATTCTTTATAATGGTTCCATGGTCAGGGTTCCCTCTTAAAATAAGAAAGATTCAGACATATTCCTAATCTTTTGTATAACATAATAGTTGCAGTGCAGCCTCAAAAAACATCCCAAATTGACACTCTCTCTCTCCTCTTTAAGTCTCCCAGCCTGTGTTCAGCTTTCAAGTTCCCCTTTGTGTTTTCATCGCTCTGGCCTTCATCTCTGATTTCCCCTTTTGTCTTTCTTCCCCGCCTCTCAGTAACATTTAAACTCAAAGCATCTAGAACCTGAAGGATTTGCACGTTTAAAATTTGTACCTGCAGGGTGACCACTAATATTTATTTTTAGAAGGACACACCTTCTCACTTGGAGTTGGGGCGACTTTGGGAAGTTGCTTTCAAAGGTTTAGAAGAGCAGCCAGTATAACTTGACCAACAAATAGCATTTTTAAAACAATTGACTGTTTAGTTCAGCAAGCAAGAGTAAGAAATAGAAGTTGTAATGATATTTCCTTTGAAATTCCAACAAAATTACATCAGAGAACATAGCCCCCGAGACAGCTGTGTTCTGATAATGTTAATGCAATGTTTGAAAACTATTGTTTAAATTTGGGGATCTATATAGCAGGAATGAATAAACAACCTTCCATTTAGAAAAAGAATATTTTAATGAGCAGATTATTAAAGATTAAGAATAGTGGTTATGGTTTAAAATGACAGACTAAGCACATGACAATCTCTATAAATTATAGAAAAAGGTAAAGACAAACGAACTAATAAATCCATGATCACACTAGAAAATAGTAATCATTTGTGGATCAGAAACAGTGAGGAATATCTGAAATATAAAAAGTACATAGACATAATGAACGAAAAAATGCAGCTCTAAAGAAAAAAACAAAACAAAACAGGAATACGATCTATGCCTGAAATGATAGTTGAAAAAGGAAGCATTTTAGGTCATGGTAAAATGTTAAAAACTGATTGGAGCTGAGGGTAGGCAGGGAAGGGAGCCCTGAGGGCATTTGCTGATTTCCATGATGTCAGTAGTCCCCTCCTTGCCACCTTCCTTGGAGCCCCCTTGAAGTAACTTGGTTTTTTAGGTATTTTTAGGTTTTTATTTCCTCTTAAAAACAAACATTGTAAATCAACTATACTTCAATTTAAAAAAGAAAACAAACAAGCAAACCCCAAGCAAGTCCTTCTTATGAAAGCAGGGTGAAAGTTTTGAACAAAAAATCACCGTGACTCCAGATGTGGATATAAAGACTCCTAGTGTTTCTGTCCAGACTAGATGTGCAGCTGGAGTCCTCTGACCCCCAGTTCCCTTTGCAATACTGACAGGTGCACCAGGATTCCCAGAAACTAGGCAGGCATCCCCACAGCACATCTGCCTCACTTCTGAGGAAAGCTGGAGGTTTTTACAGGATCATGATTATTAACACTGGGAATATCTCAAAGCAAAGTGCTAAGTACACACACATTCGCGGCGGGGGTGGGGGGGGGTTGCATTTGACCAAGTATTTATTCTTTAGCTTTAGATATAAAAAGTTATATTTAATTTATTTTCAGTAGCAGACGATGGTTTTTTTAAGTGTGTGTGTGTGTGTGTGTGTGTGTGTGTGTG